TCAATACCAGGATGATCTCATAATTATAAAGCATCCTCGTTCAAAATCCTTTGCACATGTATTGATTTGTGTCCGCCATGACTAATTGGTCGTATGTGCAAATCGCGCGCTGTCTCATTACCCACTTGGTTATCAGACTGGATACGGATTCTCTCTTGTTTACATCTGAGATGATCATCACACCTTTTCAACTCTTTTCTTTGACTTCATTGATACGTCTCTTTAAGATAGCTATCTGAATATCTACAAAGTCGATCTATCCATATGAAACTCATAGTCGCAAAAACGATTTATTTATCCCATCTTTTTTGTTCCGTCCCTTGCGATTGCGGTATTCTTTCCACCTAGGCAGAGGTGATCGCATCCAGTGGTAAACATGTGTGATTTGAGACATAATTACATGTTTCCGAGACGTACCCTTATCCAGATTTGTCTCACTTTGTTGCTGGTATGTTGCTAGACCTCCGTACCGGTTTTGTTATCTCAGTTTGTGAATTCAGTCCGGATTTCTTCACTCCAGACTGTTAGTCACGTCTGAAGGTCTTTTTCGTTGCTGTTCATCCATTCCCATGCGTCATGTCATCAATTCGTCCGATGCATATTAGACTCGAATAGATAGTTACTGGCGTAGTAGTTTGTTGTTAAACCCAAAACCGGATGTAATTTAAATTCCTTTTTAACATGTGCACTACAGGTCATGCTTGGTAGGTTCCACATTTGGTCACAATCTCAGCAGGTAGTCCCGAGGAATCGATCACCGTCGCTTCCTCATGAGACTAGCTAATCTGGTGATAGGTATCTTTTGTGTTGTCCCATTCAATACCACGCTTATCCTTTTGGGTCTTATGTGATTTACCACTCCGTGTTTTATAGTTTGAGCTGACGATCACCATAGGCGAACAGCAAGATCTTTTACTGTTCAGTACACTGTGCGCAGTTGAAAACAAACGATTGTTGATTGGAGCCATCCGCTCGGGCCGCAAAATCTTTCACTTTTTGAAGTGTGATTAATTTCTGTTAATCTTTGTTACGTGTTTTCGCGGTGGGATTTTCGACTGCTTCTCTCGTCGACGCCAGCACCGGTTTCATTCAGAACTCATTGTGGTTTAAACGTGCGAATGGTAATTCATATATTCCACTGTCCATTTTTAGTGGCGGAATCACAGCTTTTGTGGGCGGTATGCCACGTGCAACATATGGCGAGCGTCACACAGTCAGTCTTCTTCGCGGTTCCAATTTGGATCGGGCGGCTGCAGCCAATGTGGTCGCTGCTCGAATCGCCGCGGCTGCACAGGCCGAGGATGACGATGATGATGACGACGACGATCTGATGCTTGATACCGGTCGCGTACCCAACACACCGATGCATGTGTTCGATCCGGACGCACCGGAGCATGTCTGTTTCGATTTGCCATCTCGTCTTGTCGATCTCCTTCCGGTAGGTCCTATCGGTGGCCCGGCCCAGATGCTGTTGCTATTGTGCGAGGAGGAATTGGTCGCTGTCGATTTGATGAGTCCCGGTTGGCCTTTCATACGACCACCGTATCTGACCTGTCTGCACACCTCGGCGATTACTGCTTACAGTTTAGTAACTCAGGTGAGTTTCATGGCTCGTTGGTTTTTCACTTTCATATATCCAAGTGGTATCTGGTCTCATCTCTGCTGATTGCTCTATCGGTTCACGCATAGTTTGTTTATGTGTGGAATCCTGGAAGCATATCAACACGTTGGTTCCGTTGAGCGGTAGTTTACTCATTCAGTCTAACCAGAAAATAATTGATTGTTGTGACGAAAACAGTCCAATCAGGCAGAATAATTGCGTATTCTAACGGACAAGTACGATTTCATGTGAGAGTGGAATAGTTTAACAGCGAATAAACTGTTCCCACTGTGATCATTAAAGCGAATTAATAGTTTTTTTTTCAAAAATATTTGCATTACCGGGACTCCAGACTTCTGGCACTTTGTCCATTGCTCGTTCCCACACCTCCAGGCATCCGTCTGCTTACTTTTCTTTCTCATGGTCTCTGGTACCGGATATCGATTGGTCGTTTGGGATGATAACTCGGTTATGCTGATAGCAATATACACATACTTTCGAGATAGAAAATAAGAAGGCATTGATAGGTTTATTGAGGTAATCAGTAAATAATAATTTTTGTTTATTGTCTATAAAAAAAATGTACAATTAGCCTGAAGTAAGGGAATCGTGGTCGTACACAAGCTGTCTGGTTAAATACAGATCATGCGAAGACTGGTGGTAATAGTGGTGCGGTTCGAACTGAGGACCTAGAGGTATTCACTTTGACACTCTTATCACTCAATTGCTGCCGCCCGATGTTGACGTTCGATAAATTTTTAATAATAGTCGTTTATTGTCTTTTATCGAGTAAACCATTATGCAGTCAGTTAAGAATGGAAAGTTGTTGATCAAGGAGACACCCTAGGATACGACGTGGTCTAGAGGTTAAGCTGCATTGGGATTCGAAAATAAGATCTCTGGGGCGGTGTTATAATAACCTAAATCATTCGATCTTGATATTAACGTTTGTGTCGCATACCTGATCATCGCCAACTCTTCAAATGTTTTGTGTTCGAAAAGGACCAGGGATTCGCATCGTTATTGGCAACAGACCAGTCCGTAAGGACATGTTCGTATCCCCCCCCTGCACAGCTAAGTTTGCTCAGCAATGGTTCGTAGACTACCACTCGTGCATCTTGTCAATTTCTCTGCAAAATAAGTCCACTGAAATTCCAAATTTTCTCTTTGATTCTACTTTCAACCTTTCCTGTCTTTCTCCTCATGTTCATCTAGATGGGCAGCCAGAAGACAGCAACCAAGACCGGCGCACGATAGTGCGCATGGTTATTGATTGTGCAAATCGAACTCAACTCTCAGATCACCTAGGACGCACCGCATCCACCTCATTGGGACCCAACTTTTACTGTTCTGATTCTACTCACTGTATTATCTCTCTGATTGCGGGGTTTGCTTTACAACGTTAAACCGTTAACATTTGTAGTTTATTGTTAGATGCGTAACTGACTCATTTTTTGTTGAGGTCAATAAAAATCAATATCCGAGGCTCTAGAAGGACTAATATTGCGATCAATACGGTCGTTCAGTCTCGATTTGTTCACAAAATCCGCCTGCTGCATTTTACCGTACAACTTCCCTCACCTTTACCTACGTCTGAATGACAGATGAGCGCTGTCAAAGAATGTTCTTATGCTAGTATAGAATGAGCAGAAACAAGCTTCACTATTTCGTACGTGTGGATAACACTGTCTCTCTTGTTTGGCCCCTATATCTGTGCGTGTTTTCAGTTCCTGCGTAACATGTACACGCGTCGTGTGTCTTTCAGACAAAATATGATATTGTCTGATTGGGCGCCGGTAGGTTGTGACCAAAACGTGACTGGGAATCGGTTGTGACCGATTTAGGCCGTAACGCTTCACGCCAAACCAAAACACATCTGTCAATAAACTTGATAGATCACTTTTTCGATTTACGGAGCTCAGCGATCGGTGGCAAAGTTTTCTTTTCTCATGGATTACCGTGTCATTCCACTTCGTTGATTCGGACTCCTTGTTACGCGAGTTCAGCGGTCGCCAGTATTAGGGCCCCGTTATATATATATAGATTGCGCAAGTCACTAAATGGATTGCCACGGCATACGATGTTTACCAAGCAAGCAATGGATGGTAAAAGGTCAGCAGCAGTCAACCTCAGACCTGGCATGACTGTATGAAAGCCTTAAACTGGAGACACACAGTTCACGCCTCATTTGCACGACGGATTCATCATCTAATCAAATCAAATCCTCTATTCATCACATATCACATAGGTACCCGTTGGACTCCCTGAATGCGGGCCCCGAGATGATGGCAACCTGTGGTTGATATGGCTGAATGTCACAGACAGTTGCGCTCGAGTATCCACACATTATTATGGCAATCCCTGTCCATGTGACTTCTTTATCTTCTCTTACACTCTGCTCTCAACGTTCCACTCTTCATTCTGTTCCTTTTTTCAAAATACGCAATCAAGAGACCAACTAAAACCGGCGTATGCAACTGCATGTTTAAAAGTTGTGAAAGCTGACAATGAAACCACACTAAGGCTTTCAGAGAACATCTGAATCTTTCGGATTCCGGTCCGGAAGCCCAAATACTACAACGAAATCAACCCTAGCGCCATCCCTCTCCTTCCTGTGATACCTTTTTTCATCTTAAGATCAATAAAGTTCACCTCGTTGTATTTCCCTGTACGATAATGACGATGAGTAGGTATTCGAACGCCTTTCCGTTTTGCAGTTCCTACTTCATGTGTGTACTTTGAATTGCACAATTCGCGCCGAAACAACCGTGACTTTAAACAACGAAATCTCTTATTTGTGGTCGCTCATCCTCGTAGTGTTCTTTATTCCTAAGGCTGTGACTTCGAATTTCGTGAGGTCGAACCCAACTTCTCCATTTCCATAAAACCACACCAATCTCTCCGTGACTTTGTGAAGGGTTCCTTTTTCAACGGTGTGCCATGCATTGATGATACTGCTTGGTCAGATAACTTTACATACAAGCGCACACTAAAGTGCCGATGCTCATACCATCGTTTAGGTTAAATAGCAATCATAGACGCCAGAAACTATTTTCGATCATCCTTCGGTGTTGCTTACTTTAGTAATCGATGAACCAATGGAATTGGAATGGGAGACTGTGGAAATGTTAGCTTTCATTTTTATTTTTTTCCCCCTACTGCTGGTGATATTTACCGTCCCCTCTGTCAGTTGAATGATGTTAGTGCGAATGTGTTTGCGAAAGGTGGATAATTGCTTACCATTTACTTACTTACTTACGGTCTGCTCCCAATCCAGAATGCCGGGCACATGTAGAGTTTAGGTGGCAGTAACGTGTGTTGCCACCGATTCGGGAGGGGCTTTTGTAAACTGTACAACTCTGTTTCGGTGCGGTTATTCTTTTTGGTCGCCCTATCCACATGATCCATTAACTTGTCATGTAGCCCGCTTTCGCACGTATTTATCAGGAAATGCGGGATTTCGTCTGACTTGGGCTAAGTCGTGCACTGGCTCAATCCCCCTCATTGTTGAACGCTTAAGTACCGTTGGAGATACACTTCCTGTTTCTCTTGCTCTCACTCTACGCGCGCACACATACACAGTCCATTGTAGAACCGCGGTTGGCTCAGTCCGACACACACACTATCAGATGGTTGGGAAAGCTTTGGAACACTTGTCACCCTACTATTATTCGACGCTGGATAAAAGCGTCTTCAACTGGTACAATACGGCCTAAAACTACAGTTTATATCGTTGAACAGTACAGCAGGTTACACAAGAATACGACGGACGAATTATCATCATTGTCCTTGCCCTATTCTTGTTTAACTTGATGTATTGTTCAACGATATAAACTGTAATTTTCTGTCGTATTGTACCAGTTAAGATGCAGCGCAATCTGCCTTGAAATAAATCGTGCAACCTAGTTTTGTTGTGCTCTCTTTTCAAATTTATCTCGGGAAATAAATTTTTCGTTATAAACCCATCATCTTTGTTAGTTCGAATGCTTCTAATGTAACTTTTGTTGCTCAGATTTTTGACAAATAAGTTGGACTCTAGAGTATCAAGCTTGGATTAGCCCATTCCATTGTTCAGAGGCACCAGACACTCTTGATGGTCTTGGGTATGGATTTCACTCCTTGGTAGGTTGGTGTCTAGTTCTTAACTAATACACCTTTGTCCTCTTTCTTCTTATACAAGGCCAACCCTAAACTGTTGGCATCTTTAGAAGCGGCTGGTGCACACTACGGTCCCGAAGGTCGTTTCGGTCGTGGTAGTGCGATTGTGCACAATCAGAACGCTGCCGGATGGTCCACGCGTCCTTGGCCGATTCGTGGTGGTATCGCTCTGGTCAACGGTGCGCGTCTCTCCACTTCTCTCTTGGATGAAAGTTCTCTGTTCACAGATGATCTCTTGCTTACCGGACACGAGGATGGCTCGGTCGCATTTTGGCGCCTCAGTGCTTGTGGATGTCTACGTCGAGTCTACACGTTGCACACGGCCGTCCTGTTCGAGGGAGATTTCGGGCTACCGGTAGGTTTTTTTTGTGTGTTGTCTCTTGGGCTTATTGCTAGAACATGGTTGATAGGCTGGTGAAATCTGGCCCCAGTATGAATTAGTGCCAATTTCGATTGTATTAGATGGTGCGCAATACATTCGTTTGAGGTATTCAGGGTTAATTCGTCACCGAATCTGCTTATTTGGTTTACACAACTTATCCCAGAATTCTATCAATTTTATTTCATAAAGGCTTCTTAAAATGTGCAAACCAGTGACAGATGAACCACTCTCTGGTCTCTGAAGTTCATCCGGAAGCCTCAGTATGGTCACTTGTGGATTGTGGCTGATCACCCTCTCCTTGCACTTCATGATCTACACCTATATCATCGAGCGTCTCCGACAGGCTCTTCTGAGGATACCCTACTCACTGTCTTTACGCAGTGCAGGTGTTTTGTCCACCAAAGTGGAAGGATGAAAAACCAACGTCCAGAGCTATAATCTCCTCGGTGAACCATTAGCAGTTTGCCCAGGGGAGTTAGCTAAAAAGTATTCCAAGCCAAAGACGGTAGTGCAAGTCCTGTTTGGGAACTAACTTCCCTATTCCAAACCACCTGGAATACCGAATCCATTCCATCCACGGACGCCGTACCTGTTTTCAAGGATCGATACCACCACAATTGCTCTAATCACCGAGGGATTAGTCTCATTGCCGTTGCGCCAAGTCGATCACATCTTTGATGCTTCGCAGTCTCACTTGAACGTGACATCCACGAAGAACAGGCTGAATTCCTCTCCGGATGGGGCTGCATTAATCACTTATTCAGTCCGGAACAGATTCTCCAACAATGCCAAACGTTCAGTAAACCAAACTTGTCTTTTTAGATGTATGTGCTGCGTTCAACTTATTGGACAGAGCTGCCCTCTGGACTTGCCTGTTAGGAAGCGGTATGTCTGGAAAGTATGTAAACCACATAACGTGCACCCAGAAATATCAGGTCGCGTCAAAATCTACGATCCCGCATCTCTTCTTCTATTGCTATCACCACGGCTTCACCCTTCCTGTTCAATTTCGCAATCGGCAAATTCTCAGTCAACGCTCTAGATAACTGCAAAGCCTCTAGTGTCGAGTTTTTCTCAGCTAACTGACTTCGTAATTTGGAATACCCAGATCATCGTTAGAATCTGTGACTCCTCTCCAGACGCAATTTAGGGCCTTCGTTACAAAGTTTAGAATGACGTTTTCTCCATCGAAATGGAAATTCTTAATGCAAAACTGACAAGAAGCACCACCTATCATCACGCTTATGAGCAACCAATTAGAAGTTATCGATCACTTAACTTATCTTGAGAGTTAATTCAGCTTAAGAGGACTAACAAGAAATATCAACACCTATCCGTAAGGCCCGGGTGGCTTTCGCTCACCTACGTCACCGGTGGCTTCGACGTGATCTCAGTCTTGAAAGGCATGGTCTGCAATGCCACAATACGCGCAGTCATACTCTATGGCTGCAAGAGCTAACCTGTTCACGGAGAATACGTACGGAAGCCACATGATTTTGACCACCGTTGCTTTCCTTTCATCGTCAGAATACGTTGGCAACAGCGAGTCACAAGCTCACGGAAGAATTTTTGCCTCAGGCAATCGTAGTGACAGTCTGTGTTCGACCGTTTCGCTCCTACGACTAAGATGGCTGTGTTGCGGATATCGGCTCACCAACTGCCCTGTTATGTTTGCTCCTATACCCCTGGTGGACGGTCTTCATCTTCGAATGGTTCATTGAACCTGAACATGATACTCCAAAGTTTTTGTTTTCTTACTCAAAGTGATAGCCCCCCCCCCAAACAAACTTGAAGTGGTATAATTATTGCGTGTTGCACACGTCATAATGTGACGAATTCGTGAACCTTTGTGAATTGATGTTCAGGTTTCAGGATCCAATGAGTTAAAATTCGGCTTCAGAATAAACACCACATTGATTCGTAATCAGTTTAACATTTGAAAAAATACGAACGAAGTACCGACCACATTAACTTGGATACAACTGTTCAGTTGAAATTTTATAACCCTGACTCTTTATAGGGACAGTTGGGATAGTAGCATGTTTCAGGCCCCTTCATTCTCGTCGAGGGGTTGACATGTGTCATCCACGCTCGGAACTGCACAGTGTATTTGCTGTGAATCCGTGTTTCACATGCACATCACGTGTCGTGATGCGCCCCATTGTAGTGTGGATCCAGTTTTCAGCAAAGAATCTCGGTGAAGCAAAGGAAAACCTTTTAGTCATAATCAAACATGTTTAGATTCACAAAAATTTCCATCTTTGTGAACACAGCTCGTGGCAATCATTACAGAGCCTTCAATCGATTTTCTGATTAAACCTGGCTTGCTTCATCCATTTCCCATCTCCAGAGTATCCTTATCAAGTTTTGTGGTCATCCATTCACCGTTAGAGATATTTGGTTGCAAACTAATCGGTAGGCCCTGATTTTCCACACCATTTTCTGTTTTGAAACACTTTGTACATGCCAAAATATCAAAATGTTTTCGGGGTCTTAGTAGGAAAAAACAATACCGTCCGTTAAGCAGAAGCACGTAATTACCAGCGCGTACACACGCACGCACACATCTAGCCACATCAGGATCATTTGGTCTGGGCCTTCTCTCTCTCTGCGTGTGCGTGTGTGTGTGTCACGTGCCGTCTATGCACTCTGTTCGATCGTTCGCGTCAC